ATGGATGGATGGATGGATGGATGGATGATGGATGGGCCGGCCCTTGCCGTTGACGGACACGTACCATAGTCTCTCGCCCGCGCCGGGCGGGCGCCGCGCCGCCGGCCCGCTGGGCACCGTGCGGTACAGGCGGGAGGCGTACGTGTTGTAGCCGAGCTCGTGCATGCGCTCCACGAACTCGCACTCGGCGCTGTAGCTCTCCTGCGGGGCGAGACGTCAGGTTGGGATCCGGACACAGACAGAAGGGCGGCCCCCAGAGGGTGACTGGGCCGGGGAGGGGCCAGGGTCTCCCAGTGCCTCCCTCCTGCCTCATCTTGCCCAGCCCATAGGGTTCTGGTACCCCAGCCCTGCAGCGTGTGCACCCCTGCACACGTGTATGCACCCTGCCCCCAAACCTGCACCCCTGCACCCTTTCATGCACACACACGCCTACGCCCCAGCAAACACACGCATGCACCCATATTCACACCCCTGCACCCACATCTGCACTTTTGCACATATGAATGCCTGTAACCTGCACAAAGCACGCACCCCTGTGCTTTCACACACATCACCCACCCACATGCCCCTGCACACCTGCACTCTCGCATGCAGCCCTGCCCACGTTTGTACACGCATGCACACACACACAGCCATGTCAGGCAGCCCTCCACACGGTTAATTTGGCTTTCCAAGCGTCACTTCCTGTGGGTGGTGGGGTGAACCTGTCCCCACCATCAACCCTAAGCCCCAACCCCTGTGCATGCCACCCGTTTGGAAACAGAGTCTCTGCAGGCGTGAGGAGGTAAGACCATCCTGGAGCAGCGTGGACCTGAAGTCCAACATGGCTGGTAGTCTTGGAAGAAAACCAGACAGACAGACAGACAGAGGGACGCTGTGTGGAGGCAGAAGCACAGGCACAGTCACAGGAAGAAGGCAGTGAGGGCAGACAGATACAGACAAGCAGAGGCTGGAGAGATGTAGCCACGGGGTCAGCAGGGGTCCTCCCTGGAAGCCAGCAGCAGCAGCATGGCCCTGCCGACCCTGTGAGCCCAGCCCCCATCCAGTGACCAGTGTCTTTATAAGGAGAGAGACCCAGACAGAAGACACAGAGGGAAGACCAGGGGTGGGGGTGGGGGGCAGTGAAGAGGGGCGTGTGCTGAGATCGGAAGCATGTGGCCACCAGCCTAGGAGCGCCTGGGGCCACCGGGAGCTGGGAGAACCAAGGAAGGACCCTCCCCTGGAGCCTTCAGAGGGAGTTGGGCCTCTAGGGTGGAGAGAGAACAAGTTTTGGTGGTCTGAGTCACCCTTTGTTATAGAAGC